ATAAAAATAAAGGTGTCTAAAAGGATGCATTTTATCAAGCACGCAATGTCAAAAAGTTCTTCATCAGATATTTAGTTTCATCGAATTACCCGTTTTAACCAATTAGCTTTGTATTAATCATATGCATTAGCAAAATTTTGGGTTTATAAACCATGAGTTATGTGCTGATTATTTATTATCTCTAGGAAATTTGCATATCCTCCACTTATGCAACAATATATAAAGCAAACTTAATGAATTTTCATCTTACATTCAAATATTTCAGAGCTAGACGTCATACAGTAGAATTGAAATTCTTTTTCTAGTTTTGCGTATGGCCGCTTAACCACTGCGGTTGTCATCCAAATCGGATGTGTTATTTTAATAATGTTAGATTAAGGTAGATGCTTGAATTCTGCACTGCTTTATCGACTTGAGGTAAACACTGGGTCACTAAATCGGTAGAAGTTAAATGGTGTAAAAGTTGGAATATAAACTCTCTGTTAATAACAAGACAATTGCTTCCATAAAGCTTCTGATAATACCATTATATTCATGTATCATATGTCATTTCCACCTCTTTCATGTTGTATTTTATTTGTCAGTTATTCACTTACAATTTTGAGAGTCTTTCAAAAACCGATTTCGTTACAGTATGTATTTCTATTATAACTAGATCGCAAATATTTTTGGTCATAACCCAACGTGAATCTATAAGGTAAACAAATATGTTTATGCCTCGCGTCTGATATCTAAAGGTTTCATAACAACCTGGTTCGGAATTTCCTCGAATTCTCTACCTTTATTACATATTGTGTAGATAAACATATCGATGGAAATCCCAGAAATACTAAATAATTCAACTATTGTGACATGCGATTTATTGTATACATGGACGGTATTTGAAAGGAGGAAGACTTTGTTATTGCGTACTGTAGAACTTTTTTAATAACAAAAAAAAAATAAATTTAAGTCATGTAAAAATAATAATTTTTACATAATAAAAATTTACATGGTTACATATTCAAAATGAAGATTGGCTGTGGTGCTTGCCGCCACAGGTGTTCCTCCTCAGAGAATACAGAGGAAAAGGTAAAAGTTTCAAAATCAAAAAAAAAAAAGAAATTGAACTTAAGGNTACATCCAGAAAATATTAAGCATTAGCTCCAAACCATTGCAACTGAGGTACAACAGTAGAATTTTTGAATACTTATTACAGATGGAATACATTACGCATTAATTAGCTTAATCAATTTTATAATGTTAATTCTCTATAGAGAAAAGATTATAGTATCTGGTAAAGGAAGTTTTTATATTTATTACACCTAGAAGACATTAAGCATTGGTTATCTAATAAATTTCATAATCGGTTATGTTATCTATAACTCTCTCTATTTTATCTTTAACGTTTGTTGCATCTATGCTGCAGGCATCCTCGGAAACTATCTTCTTTGTCTATTAGAAAGCAATATAAAACTTCGTATCCTCGGTATACAATACTTAGTAAGAATACGAAGTTTTATTTTCAATGAAAAAGAATTTACAGCTAAGTCGTTTGCTGCCTAACCATTTCAATTAAAATCTTCAATACTTACAACATCTACAAAATATTAAGCATTTGTCATTCAATCAATTTCCTAGTCGATTGTAGAAAAAAATTTCTTTATGTCTTTATCACAAGAGAGAAGATACTACTCGGGTAGTATCTTAACAGCCATTAGAAAGAAATCTTTGTAGCCTCGGTATACAATATTAATCTGTATACTAAGACCACGAAGTTTTATTTTCATTTAAGAAATAGTACACATATTACATTTTGAAAACATCAAGCGTTTTATCTTTAATGGCCTCGATTGCAGAACCTCGGTCGCAAACGATCTCAAAGCTTTATCTTCAATAAATAATAGATTACAGCCAGAATAAAAATAAAGGTGTCTAAAAGGATGCATTTTATCAAGCACGCAATGTCAAAAAGTTCTTCATCAGATATTTAGTTTCATCGAATTACCCGTTTTAACCAATTAGCTTTGTATTAATCATATGCATTAGCAAAATTTTGGGTTTATAAACCATGAGTTATGTGCTGATTATTTATTATCTCTAGGAAATTTGCATATCCTCCACTTATGCAACAATATATAAAGCAAACTTAATGAATTTTCATCTTACATTCAAATATTTCAGAGCTAGACGTCATACAGTAGAATTGAAATTCTTTTTCTAGTTTTGCGTATGGCCGCTTAACCACTGCGGTTGTCATCCAAATCGGATGTGTTATTTTAATAATGTTAGATTAAGGTAGATGCTTGAATTCTGCACTGCTTTATCGACTTGAGGTAAACACTGGGTCACTAAATCGGTAGAAGTTAAATGGTGTAAAAGTTGGAATATAAACTCTCTGTTAATAACAAGACAATTGCTTCCATAAAGCTTCTGATAATACCATTATATTCATGTATCATATGTCATTTCCACCTCTTTCATGTTGTATTTTATTTGTCAGTTATTCACTTACAATTTTGAGAGTCTTTCAAAAACCGATTTCGTTACAGTATGTATTTCTATTATAACTAGATCGCAAATATTTTTGGTCATAACCCAACGTGAATCTATAAGGTAAACAAATATGTTTATGCCTCGCGTCTGATATCTAAAGGTTTCATAACAACCTGGTTCGGAATTTCCTCGAATTCTCTACCTTTATTACATATTGTGTAGATAAACATATCGATGGAAATCCCAGAAATACTAAATAATTCAACTATTGTGACATGCGATTTATTGTATACATGGACGGTATTTGAAAGGAGGAAGACTTTGTTATTGCGTACTGTAGAACTTTTTTAATAACAAAAAAAATAAATAAATTTAAGTTATGTAAAAATAATAATTTTTACATAATAAAAATTTACATGGTTACATATTCAAAATGAAGATTGGCTGTGGTGCTTGCCGCCACAGGTGTTCCTCCTCAGAGAATAACCAGAGGAAAGGTAAAAGTTTCAAAATCAAAAAAAAAAGAAATTGAACTTAAGGCAGAGAAAACAAAACATTTTGTTTTTCACATGTCAAACTACCTACTTTTTGGGTCAAAGAAATTTGGTTCGCCCAAGTCTACTGATCGATGTAATTTCACAAATCTACGATGTGATTAGACTAATTAACAATCCACCTGAAAATGACATGCATCATTTTCTTAAACCAACTTTAATCGTTAGACTAAGTAAAGAAAGGCGCTTTGATGATCTATTGCCAGGATTTGAGATGAGAACACAAAAACCACCTGACTTTCTTTAGAATTATGCTGGCGGCTCACAAATAGTAAGTCGAGATTTGCTGTTCAATCTCTGGAATCGTAGATATCCGAGCACTATTTCCATCGCTCTTCTAGCGATTGGAAATAATGATGTTAGTGATTTATTAAATATTTCAGACAAAATTTGGGATTCTATGAACACCTCATATAGACTTGCAAATGTAAATCATTTGCCAATCAATGAATGTTAATGAATCGTGAAAAGAATATTAAGATAACTTAACAAAGAAAAATATCTGAAAAGATCAGAAGCAAGTATGAAGATTCAAATTGGACTTTGAAACCTTGTAAGGTTTTGAAAGGAATCTGCAGAAAGAACGATATCTCTTCACTTTAATTTTTTTCACCACAGGCAGAATGCAATTAGTGATAACTGATGATTGTCAATGGTCAACCATTTGTAGGGGCCGTTGTAGGGTCATTTGAAGATTAGCCAGATGATACTTGTCTGCAATCCAAAATATTGACAAAAGTTCACACGAAGGTTTGTGTTCGTCGGGATCTACAGTTTATGAAAGGTGTTTGAAAGAAGGAAAACTTTGCTATTCCGTAGTGCAGAACTTTTTTAATAACAAAATAAGTATACATAAATAAATAATAGGAATGCGTAGTGCTTCATGGGTGGAGAAGTATGTGTTGTTGTGGCCGATCCGAGATTTAATCCATTCTTCTTGTTGGTTCTTCCTACGACAACGCACTGAAGATGCCAGGTGAGATCTTGGCGAAACGTCTGCCCCTTTCCAAAGGAAACCAACAGGAAGAACGGATGAAATCTCGGATCGACCACAACAACAAATAAATAATAATTTTTACAAGAGTAAGGTTACATGGCTTATTTTTTACAATAAAGGACTCTCACCTGTATTTTGGCATGGTTTTCTTTTTACTTGGTGCTCGAGCCACCCTATTTAGTTTTTGGATAAGAACTCATGCTGAGTTGTTATCTGTGAGTTGATCAACTCAACGTGTTCACTCAATGAAAATCAATTCTTGTTTCAATCTCTCTCCAGCATTAAGACAAATTTTTCCATAATTTGTAAAAAAGCTATTAACATTGTTGTTAAGTAATGACCAAAATGATCTAACTGCAAAACTCCTTCAAATTTTGACTCAAAGCTTAGGCCATACATAGAATGTCGATATAAATTACATTTTTGATCCACAAGTGTGACAATGGTGTGTATCTTTTACCACTTTTATCTTTAATGCTGATACCGTATATGTTTTACCCATTAGAAGCAGAAGTTCATAACTGGAGTGTAAAATAGTTATTTGCATACTAAGGTAACGATGTTTTAATTTTCAATGATGAAGAGATTGACTCTTGCAATCAAGGTACTGCTATTGAGATCTTCATCACTTATTACAAGCAGGAGATTAAGTACTAATTATCTCTAAAGATCTTGATTGCAACGCTCTCTTTAAAAATCCAGATTTTTTAATTTTTCCATCATTTATGTTCAATAATTTTTAATTATTTGTTACCGTAAATAAGTCTTTCTAAGATTTTCTCGAAATAATTAATTTCACTGAAATTATTTAAATGAAATGGTGTCGATGTTTGCAAATCCTTTTATCTTCAATTAATAAATGTTATATATAAATCGTTATACTCAATTATCATTTATAATGCGTACTTTTCAGATAAATGGGTTTATTGATTTTGACGTTGTTTAAAAGTCAATAAATCCTTGACAATTTGAAAATGTATCGTCAGTTGTATTTCTTATTGGTATTATTTTTTAATTTAAAATGTATTTTAACATCAAGTTGTGGAATAGTAGAAGATCTTACAAGTGAAAACTATACAAAGTTTAAAAATAGCGACGTTTGTTTCATTCTTTACCAATCACCGGAATGTACCTATTGCAAACATTTCCAGCCGGAATACAAAGCAGCTTTTGAAGCGATTAAAACGAACGAATCCCTCTCGAATATAGATTTTTACCAAGTGGATTGCCACGAATCACCATCAATTTGCGATAAAGAATCAATCACAGCTTATCCAACCGTGAAGTTATTTTTCGATGGCACTCCAAAAGAAATACTTAATACACAAGTAATTGAAAAAAATGATTTGATTTTGATTGCTTTTAAATATGGTTATACATCAAAAGAAATTACTTGTATTAAAGATTACGACCGATTTTTTAATACAAAGGAAGTAATAATATTTGGTTATTTTGAAAAAGTAACTGGATTACAAACCGCCTTTTTAAGAGCATCTGCTTTAATGAAAAATTACAAATTTGGACATACATCTAAAAAAAAATTATTAACAACTTTCGGTTATTTTAACAATGTAGTTTTGTATCAACCCAAACATTTACATAATAAATTTGAAGATACCAGTAGAGTTTATTTAGGACCGGGCGATGTTCGTGATTTAATCAAGTTCATAAATGAAAATCGGTACGGTTTGGTTGGATATCGAACTAGAACTAATTTAGATGATTTCCCATTGCCACAAATTGTCGCTTATTACAATATCGATTACGAGCGCAGTTTAAAATTGACCAATTACTGGCGACATCGTATATTAAAAATTGCGTCCAAGTTTCGTGATTTAACTTTTGCAATGAGTTCCAAAAGTGATTTCTCCAAGGACCTCTACCATTTAGGGATTAACGTGACTGAATTCGATAATACTTCACCACTTATTTTTGCGACCAATACTGCAGGAGTCAAATACATGATGGACGTAAAATTTTCAATCGACAACTTGGAAGATTTCGTTCAAAATTTTTTAAATAACTCATTAAAACCGTATGTAAAATCCGATCCAATTCCGGATGAGAATGATGATGTCGTTAAAATTATCGTTGGAAAAAATTTTGAGGATGTCGTTGGAAAAGAAAAAGACTCGTTAATTGAGTTTTATACCCCGTGGTGTTTAATTTGTTTAGAATTTGCGAAAACGCTGGAGGATGTCGCTTTGGAATTTGGAAACGATGAAGTTTTGATTGGTAAAATTGATGTTTCAGCGAATGATTTTCCAGCGAGGTTTATTATTAAATCGTATCCGACGATTTATTTTGTTCCAAAAAATACCACCGGAATTGGTTTTCTTTATAATGGTAGTTTAAATTTTAATGATCTCATTGCTTTTGTTGCATATCATTCTAGTTATGAATTGAAACGTTTTGATAGAGAAGGTAACAAAAAAATAAGAGAGGAATTGTAATTTTTCTTAGTGTTATGATTCTCTATGTTAATAAACTTTCTAAATGAATCACATTAGATTTATGTTGTGTCAAATCTATAAAGATTTAAGATAATCATTTTTTATTTAAAGATAATTTCAAATAAAATTTTATTTCAGGTTTCTTTGAAAATTAAAAAAAAAACGACTTAGAAAGCTTCTGCTTTTAAGCTTCTTTAAGACTTCTTTTTAAAATACAAATTTGATGGTCTATAAATCTACAATACTTAAGCCCATTGTACATTCCCACTATGTATCGCTCAACCAGGATTAAAAATATCGGATCTGTTACATTTTGAACAGATTTAAACATTTACTCAGTTTTGTTTTCGTACAATCAAACATTTCATATTGAGATAAATTAATCAAATGTTTAGAATCATGAACTGTTTTTAGCGGATGCAACAACTCTGTTCTCTAGGTTATCCCTCAGTTTAATCAAAAAATATTTGTAGACTATACTGGTGTAGACCAATTGGGAAAGTGGAGCCCTAATTAGGCAGTATATAAATAAAACGTTACAATGTTGTGCCAATAGTTGCCACATGTAGACTTCAAGTCACCACATAATCCGAGATGACACCAAGCTTCCTGGTAGTACGTGAAGAAATGATCTATAAGTTATTCAGTATAACATCACTGTTGTGTCATACAATCTGTCATCAAATCATACAATCTGCCTAGAAGAGATCTAGAACTAAAGACAATCTTTTTTGCCTTTTGATCGAGTTAGGCACAAAACTTGAAACAAAAGATAATGATGAAAAGTCTCTTTCTGTGATATGACGTGAACTAGAAGGTGCTGTCGAGGTCCAGATCCATGGGCTACATATAAGCGAAGAGATCACGATCAAATAAAAAACTTCAGAAAAATCAAGGGGTACATAAACGGCCAGTATTAGTCATCACTAGCATTCCACACAACATGCAATACCCTAGCTCAAAAAATCAATTATGCATGAAGTACTTTACAAGTTGCTCTTGATTGACGTTGTTTATCGTCTCGTAATAAATTATAAACTCGGAAAACTTGGAAACATTAACTAATTTTCTGTTATTTTTCCGTGCTATAATTCGTTGAGTTTGTATAACTATTGTGTAGCTGTGAGTTGTAATAAAATCCATCTTTGTGGATTTGTCATCAATTGTCAAGCTTGGCAGATATGGTTCAGTAGTGAAATATATCTACTTTTAATATTGCGCTGTTGGCCATCCTTGTTGATGGTAGTGAAGATGTATTCAAAATGATATTGGCGACGAAACCTCTTTGCCAGGTCAATTTCGTTTTATCCAAGCTTCATTCCAAACTTCTTACCGTTGTAACAAAAGGTTTTATGTGGCTCTTAATAATTCTGCAGAAAGTGTTCCTCCTTTTCGCATCTCCAATAATAGATTTCTTATCCTGCTTTTCTTATATCTTTCATTTTATTCTGTCTTGGTGGTAGAAGTTGTTGCTACGATTTACCAAATCTCGCAATATTAGAGTACCTAATTGGTGGTGATGACATTTAAATGCTCATCGGTGATAATATGGTATAAACCTTTCTCGTTCAGAACCCTTCTTTGGCAGTTTTTTCAGCAAACTTTCAGCAAGATTTATCGGCTTTAGTAAACTATTTATCTCTTTAACTATTCATGTTTTTAGACAATTCTCATGAATTGGGGTGTATCATTAAAGATTACGGCATTTCAGTTGATTTTCGGGGAAATGTTACTATTTTGGCAAATAACGTATTCATTCCAGTGATGAAATTATAATACAGACCTTCAACTATGATGCCAACTGTGTCGGTTGATAAAAGCGACGAAAGTTATTATTACGCTAGTTTGCAAGCGTAGCAAAACTCTAGTGCGTCTAGCTAGTGCGTCAGTTTGCAACACAAAGACATCCTAAAGTCTAACAGAATGCTTGACATCCGCGAATAAGGTCTGTTAGAGGAGATAATACTTTAGCAGAGCGTGGAATGAATGTGCGTTTTATTGTCGTCATGAAATTTCTTAAAATCTTTGCAACATTTGACGCGTTCAAAGTACTCTAGCAACCTGTTGGCATTACAAGTCATGACACGAAAACAAATACCCATTGGATTTCTTGGTTGCACCTTTTCTGTTGGTGTAGTCAATCTTATAAAGTCTAATAATAATAGACTTGGTTATGCCTCCTTGTTTATTTAGTTTTCCTAAGGTCAACCGCATACTTGATGAATGTCTATCGCATCACTTGCATCTTGATGTTTCCGAATGAGAAGTTGGCTTATTTGTATTACAAAATAAATAATAATTTATCGCTTTACTAGATTTATAGAATCATAGTGTTAGATTAAATTGTATCTTTACCAATTTCTTATTTTGCTTGTCCCAATTGTACGTAACGGAGTTGTGTTTTGGATTCATCACCTATGGGTGTTCCTAATCTCTAGCCATTCTTCCTACTTCAGCGACGCTTTTCTAACTTTTCGATGCCACTTCTTCTATTACATACTTCTTCTCGCAGAATTCTTAGTCAACCCCATTCCTTCTGGTTTCATATTGAATATATTTTGTAGTATTCTTTCCTCTTGCATTCGAACCAGGAGGCCATCTAGCTCTCAAACTTAATTATTCTCTGAAATTTTTGTTTCATGATTTGTCACTTCTGATTTTCCCTGCTATTTTTCGCATATATTACGGATTCGGATCCCTAGGTGGTATAGATGGTTTCGAATAGAGGTAATTTTGCTTTTTTTTCTTAGTTCTTCCTTACTTATTAGGGTATCATTTATCTGGTAACAAACTCTACTTACTTTTGCTGTTCCATTGTGTATCTCTTGATTTATCTTGCCATCTTTGCTGATTAAACCATAATCAGACATTCCTATATCTACGTTTTCTCTTCTTTCTTCCTTTGTGATGTTTAGGATCTTATTATTATTGCTGCCGAGCTGAGGAGAGCGGCCCCTATTGTTACCGCGACCTATAAGATTTATTGTAACTTTAGCCCTCTAAAAGTTTAGCGCAAATGTAAGTCTTTGACGAACCTTAGTATTGCCCTGAGGTCTTGAACCTTTATGTCAGTAGGTGTCAAGAGAGTTTTACCGAAAATTTTGTGGATTTCTGCCAGCTGTTGTTGTGCTGTCTTATGTTTTGTTTTTGGCCACCAAACCAATGAGGCGTAGGCGACCATGGGTCTGATTATTTCTACGTAGGCCCAATGAGCCATTCGTGGTTTGAAAGCCCAGTTCCTTCCTAGGAGCTTGCGGCAGATCTGGTTTGCCATGATGGCCTTTTTCCTCACCTTGTCTAAATGTGAGTTCCAGTTTAGTTTACTGTCTAGTATTACCACTAGGTATTTAACTTCTGTTTTGAGGTTAATATGTTTAGGATCTTGCTTTTGATCCAGTTTATTATCATTCCCTTGTAGGCAGGTTTTCCCTATTTGGACGTTTCTTTGTACTACTAGGTTATACTACTTCTTTGTTATACTAGGTCTCTCGTCTAGATCGGAATTAGGTTGTGATATCTCAATCTCGACGATCTTGTTGTAACTTATTATTGTATTCATGTAAGCTACGAACAGTTGGGGGCTTAGACTGTCGCCCTATTTCACGTCCATTTTCCGTTCTAGACTCATCGGCCGACTTTCTGCCATTTCATCCTCTTCCTCTTTATCATTGCCATTTGTAACTCTCCACATTTCGTATTTTCTCTACATAGTTTTCCTTCAGCTTGACCATGTGTCAGAACTGTTTCTGGTTTTCTTTATAATTTTCGCTCAACGTTATAAATTTTCAACGAAAGTTTATTAAGATAAATATTTTTTTTTCAAAGTTATTTTGTAAATTATAGAGATATGTTAAATTTTTTGCCTCGGCCGCAGGTAACTTCGGGCTAAACTTTGGGTGAAAATGTATGACCTTAGCTGATTGAGGTGAGATCGCTTACGGCCGATAATTAATACCATACGATCCCCCAAAAAACGGTTAACACATTGTAGCTTACGTGCACTTTATAGTATCTCACAACATGAACTAGATGAAATATTGCTTTAACTGTATCGATGATAGCTAAAGCATTGAAACCGATTAGACACGAGTTGAATCTGCTGGAAGTCTTTTGATAGATTACTGGTAGTAATGTATCATAAAGACTACTGTTTGGACGTCTTTATGATACTTGATGGGATTTGGCTTTATAGAGGTAATTAATCGATTATTCAACTCAAAGGCAAGCATATCAAAGAATTGAAACATTCCAGTAATTTATATATGCGTTATGTATACTTACAAGCTCAACGACTACATTTTAAAATAGCAGTTTTCTTATACGGCCCCAAATATGTATGCATATCTACGCTTGTATCATAATAGTGGTTTATTAAATTTCTTTCTTGCTGTTAAATACATATCTACCTATATACGTACATTAAGTCACGCAGATATAAAGCTAAAAATAGTTGACATAAATTCAGGAACCCTGAAAATGTATAGATCCGTCAAACTTCTTTATACAGAAGATATTTCTATATATGCAAGAATACCAAAAAGACTAAATTTGGGAACCCACAGTTAAATGTTCATAATAATTACAAATAATTTTTACTTCCTAAAAATAGTTATTTAATGATTTTTTAAAATGTTTTCACTTATTTTTACATATTTTAAGATGGTTAACGTAGTGACAAATGAGATGAACCCAAATTTGCAAGTCTCTTCCTCTCAACTTTGAAGGTGTTGCCAACAATGCTCACCTTAAATTCCTTATTATGACATTCCTACTAACAATAGACATTGCCAACTCGAAAAATAAAAACAAAAATTCTTGTTTGTAATGGAATCCAAACAATTTTCGTCATTTACTGAAGATAAAAACAAACAGTTCTCCTTCGAGTTTTCCTTATACAGAGAAAGAGAAAAAAGATGCTGTTTTTATTGATCATCGAGGACAAACTTATTTGTCTTAATCAATCGTTATTGCTTTCAAATTGTTTTCGAATTTTATCACCC